TGAGACAAAGCTATTGTGAGACCTGAGACAAAGGTACTGTGAGACCTGAGACAAAGGTACTGTGAGACCTGAGACAAAGCTATTGTGAGACCTGAGACAAAGGTACTGTGAGACCTGAGACAAAGGTACTGTGAGACCTGAGACAAAGGAACCGTGAGACCTGAGACAAAGGTACTGTGAGACCTGAGACAAAGGAACCGTGAGACCTGAGACAAAGGAACCGTGAGACCTGAGACAAAGCTATTGTGAGACCTGAGACAAAGGTACTGTGAGACCTGAGACAAAGGAACCGTGAGACCTGAGACAAAGGTACTGTGAGACCTGAGACAAAGGTACTCTGAGACCTGAGACAAAGGAACCGTGAGACCTGAGACAAAGGTACTGTGAGACCTGAGACAAAGGTACTGTGAGACCTGAGACAAAGGAACCGTGAGACCTGAGACAAAGGTACTCTGAGACCTGAGACAAAGGTACTGTGAGACCTGAGACAAAGCTATTGTGAGACCTGAGACGAAGGTACTGTGAGACCTGAGACAAAGCTATCGTGAGACCTGAGACAAAGGAACCGTAAGACCTGAGACAAAGGTACTGTGAGACCTGAGACAAAGGTACTGTGAGACCTGAGACAAAGCTATTGTGAGACCTGAGACAAAGGTACTGTGAGACCTGAGACAAAGGTACTGTGAGACCTGAGACAAAGGTACTGTGAGACCTGAGACAGAGCTATTGTGAGACCTGAGACAAAGGTACTGTGAGACCTGAGACAAAGGTACTGTGAGACCTGAGACAAAGCTATTGTGAGACCTGAGACAAAGGTACTGTGAGACCTGAGACAAAGGTACTGTGAGACCTGAGACAAAGGTACTGTGAGACCTGAGACAAGGTACTGTGAGACCTGAGACAAAGCTATTGTGAGACCTGAGACAAAGGTACTGTGAGACCTGAGACAAAGGTACTCTGAGACCTGAGACAAAGCTATCGTGAGACCTGAGACAAAGGAACCGTAAGACCTGAGACAAAGGTACTGTGAGACCTGAGACAAAGGAACCGTGAGACCTGAGACAAAGGTACTGTGAGACCTGAGACAGAGGTATTGTGAGACCTGAGACAAAGGTACCTTGAGACCTGAGACAAAGGTACTTTGAAATCTCAGACAAAGGTACTGTGAGACCTGAGACAAACGCACTGTGAGACCCGAGACAAACGCACTGTAAGACTACATCAGTAAATGAAACATGTCTCACATGACACCACTTGACATATTCAAACAGCACATGACGGATCTCTCTGTACACAATTCCAAAGTTTAGCTGTCTTGGCGGCTGTCTCTCTTATCGGGACATATACCAAGTGTAAAAAAAGCGTTCTCTTAATCAATATATTTCTTATCATAATGTGTTTCGATAACATAACATTGTACCCCGCCCTTAAACATGCTCCATATAGTAGGGTAAATCGCTATATTTATAATCAATAGATAATATGCAAATATTACCCTATAGTTTTACAGTAGGACAATACAACCGAGTCAGTGTGAAGTAACCTCTGATGTAATGCATGTAATAACGCAAATCTGATTGTTGAAGAGTGCACGTAACGTAAAGCGTTCAGGTTATAGTTCAATATGGCTGAAAATGCATTACACCGATCGTCAAAACAACCATTTCATGAAATCGAATATCAATTTCGGTCCACCTTTTGGATGTCGGGTCTATAGATAGCTAGACTAATGCATATTGCATTATTCGTCTATTCATAATTTCATTAATGTGCATGGTTGGCACCAAGGCGTCTCATTTCTAAAGATGAAAGACGGCAAAATGCATAAAGTAGTTCTGTTTGTGTTTGCGTACTAACTTATCACTCTACAGATAACCCACTTCTTGGACATAACACTTAAAATCCATGCTTCAAAACATACGCAATTTTTGTCTGACACAAACAATGATTTTTACCCACAACAATTCTTTCAAGACATCCAGAGAACAATAATTAATTTGATTTTTTCAAATATTTTCGGGAAGAAGTTATTTTTTTTAGCACAAATGCTATGCCCCACACACCAGCTTATCAAATAGTCGCTCCCTCCAAGTGTTTTTTTCAGGTGAACATTTGACTTGCCCTTGCATGTGTTTGGGACGGGTGTCACCAGCGAACACATGGTGTGATCACTTTATGATGGGGACTCATATACACATGCTCATGCTTTACGCACAGATTTATTATGATTATGCATGAAATTTGTCGCTTTAATTCAGTATGTGTACAGTATAGCTGCAAAATGACGGAATAAATTATTCATAATTTAATAATAAGGTTGCGTAAAGTTAACTTGCATTAACAGCTACATTTAATAAATCTCAAAGTGGATTGAAAACCGACAGTGATAAATGTTAAAATACTGTTACATTTGCTGAACACCTGTAATCAATGACGTCATTCCTCTACGAAATGACGTCATCAATTGTTAATAAAATCACACACTGATCCTCGCGTCTTTGGAGCGATAGTTTATACCTTGTTTCTTAAAATGGCATCGAATAAGCCGAAATTACAGATAGTCTGCCTCTGTGACTGAAATCGGTATCTCGGGACAGATATTTCTCGTAGTTCCCGTAATGTGTGTGTCAATACACAACCCGCCTCTCATCGAGATGACCCGTGCCTCTTTGATCCTCTCGGCAATAAGTGCATGCCTTGCATAAATACCATGTTATTGACAGATATTCCCCGGGTTTATGTAAAACGTCTGGTGTTACAATTACAAACACAAAGGTACGTCTTCTGCGCCCCTAAACGAGCTTGTGCTTTCCCATTTTGATTATATATGATTATTATGTGAGGTGATGTGTACGTACTGTATCTACAAAGGTTGGCTGCTGCAACGGGAGTGTGAAAATTAAACACGATTTTGTGTTGTTGAAGTGAGTCAAGTTGAGACTATTTGACACGAATGATAATGTAAATGAGATCGGTTTTAAGCCGTATTTTAGATATATTTCAGATAATCCGCGGCGGAGGAGACAAGAAATGGGTTTCACGTTTTGAACCCATGTGGGGAATCGAACCTGGGCCTTTGGCGGGACAATCGTATACTTTCACCACTAGGCTACCCCACCGACCTTAGCTGACACGAGCACGTTTAAGACGGATACCCTACTCAGACACTTATCCCCTTAAATGACGTGCGCTAGACAGGGTAACAACAAGTATATATAACGTCATTTTGGTATGACGTAGCCAGTGGCTCGAACCACCGACCTTCCGTTCTCCGGATAGACGCTTTACTCACTAGGTCACGGAGGCGGCTATAGTAGTGAGTGAGTGAGTGAGTGAGTGAGTGAGTTGGGTTTAACGCCGCTTTTAACAGTATTCCAGTCACATAGCGGCGTGTCAGCTTAATGTGGGAGGAAAGCCCGAACTGATGCAGGTCTCAGACGTTTACCACTTCGGTGAAACCCAC